GAATAATAATGGGGTTGTTATTATAAAGAGTTACAGAATAGATTTATATCTTAACATACAGTTAATAGTATAGTAATAAGGAAGTATGGAAATGACTTGGGTAAACATTCGGTTACCTCTTTTTCCATGAAAGCTGGTTGTACAAGTGGAATTGTACAAGAAGAGATGGCTGTGCCAGAGAAGAGTGCAGCAGTAGCTGCTGCTGCTGCTGATACGGTTGAAAGTAAACGTCCGTCAGCATGTTACTGTTGTTGCTGGGGTGTTGTTACTCGGCGTTGGAGTAACTTGAATTGATGTTTGCTGAGGTTGGAGAGTAGAAGTTGGTTGATTGATAGCCATTCCAACAGAGCAGTTGGCATAAGCTGTGGTAAACCAGTGGTTTGAATCAGCTGACCGTTAGGAACAACAGTCATAACTTTTAATGGAGCTCCTGGTGCCAGAGTGATAAACTAGGGAGTAGCATAGGAGCGTGCAGCTACAGTACCAGGTTGACCACTGACAGGGACGTCAGTTGCCATCATTGTTGGTTGTTGCTGATGTTGTTGGATATAAGTTGGCTGTTGAGCTGGCTGTAAGTGATGAGTTTGTGCTTGAATCTGTTGTTGTTGAGGTGATTGGGTAAACTGTTGTAATTGAACAGCTGTAGGGCCGGCTTGAGTAAATGGAGTTGCAGACCATTGTAAGAGTGTTTGCACACCTGTAGACAATGCTGAAGCTTGAGGACAGAGAACTGGAATTGAGGTGTTGCATAACAGCCAGCTGCTTGAGTATCAGGGTGAACTGGGATAGCAGTCGCTGTGCCGCCAGGTCCGGAGGTACTTTTAGCAGAAACACCAGTAATTATACATCCGAATGTTATGAAGTTATAAAAGTTAATGCGATGGCAAAGATGATTTATTCCACTGTATATACTTCGAAATGATGTAGTCCATCAATCAGCTATGTCGGGCTCGCCAATTTGTTGCTGCGATATTTTGATTGAACTAGCGTATACACATATCCTAATACTTCCTCGCGTTTATATTTGTGCCCTGACGTTGCGATTACTCGACGTCCACAACGTAATTCAAAAGGCACTTGCGAAGGAATACGACAGTGTATTATTGCAGCAATCAACAATTCAAAAATCGAGCGAGTACAAAAGGTATCAATTGTTAACATGCATGATTTAGAGTAATAAACAAATCGAAGTACAATTACACCATGAAAGTATACTGCGATGATGAGTAATAAAACGGGTCACTACAGACGTCCTCACAACTGCAGTAAACTTGAATATCATCAAAATCAGTAAGTAGCTATCTTAATAAGATTGGTATTATGTTAACCATCATGTCCACAAAACTCTTATTCATGTCATCTAACACTGAGTATTCGATGAGTTTAATATGCAAACTGTCAGTCTGACACTCAATTCTACCACATGTCGACTGATCGCGCTGGCAAGCAAATGTGTTTCAGGCTATTGCGAATATGTTCAGAAAATCCACTTCACTGTAGATACGACAAAGTAGACTTCATGCGGACAGTCAAATACAGAAGGACACAGACTGAAACCTCAAGGAGATGACTGAATCAAACGTCCCTCTCTTCCCAAATATACGTACGGATTACCAAACGAAGTGCAGACACTGTTTTGTGAACTGATTTATCATGGTAGCATAATTCTCTAGTTTTCGTCCTACCACCTTGCTTCTTGAACACATTTCATACCTTCGTGTAAAACACACTGACCTCAACATTTGATCACCTCGTTGTCACACAATATATGAACTCTCCTCGTCTCAAGTTTGTTGGTGAACTTCATAACCATAGCGAGACATCTGCTGACTGACTCTTCTCAACATTTATTGCCACATACGTAAATATAAGTCGTATTCCTGGGTGAATCGAATGAAAACTAATCATTTCTACTTGTATAATGCTGGACGTCCATCCAGCACGACTTTCCCTTTCTTGCCTTCATTCAGTAGGCATGAGTGGAATAGCGTTTAGAAACTTTGAATCCAGGAGTAAACTTTGAAACATGCCTTACTTTAGTCAACCACAGAGTCCAGTTATTTGTAATGTTGAATCTTTTGTTTCATGAAAAATTCCAACTTGAACAATAATATATAGAAGATCAGTAGATCAGCAATGTGCTTTTTTTCGGCAGTGAATTCATTTTCATAACTGTACAATCGCAAATACATATGGTTGTTTATTATGAGTGTGTACATTGAATTACTCACACGAAAATATAATTTGTAATTTCAGATGAATTGGATGTTGATTTACGAGGATAGTAACAAAAGTGATGAGTTCTCACAAACGATTATTTATTAAGTGTTCAGTAATAACGTGAATGGATTGATGAAAGAGTTGTACTCAGGGTGAACATGGAAACAAAATAATATACGGAGTTACGCAAAGGTTTTAAGTAGTTTGAAAAACGAGCATACAAACAAAAGTTAAATCTGCGGAGTTTTTACCATCAGAGTAGAGGTTGGTTGAGCGCTGATTTGACGTGACTTTTCTTTGTATGCTGATTTTTCTAACTACTTAAAACCTTTGCGTGATTCCGTATGTAATTTTGTTTCCTTGTACACGCTGTGCACAACTCTGTCATCAAACTATTCAGGTTATTAGGTAACACTTAATTCGATTGACAAATTTAATGTACACACACATACTAAACAACCATATGTATTCGAGATTGTACAGTTATGAAAATGAATTCACCGCCGAAAAGAGACTCTTCGCTGAACTACTGGTCTTCTGTAAAATATTTTGCACGCATAAGAACAATAATTATCTTTGTTCTGTTGGAGTAAAATCATTTTTGCCACCATAGTGAGACATACAATTATTCACTCAGTATCATGTCTCAACAACTAATTGGCTATTCTAAGCTGAACAAGGCTTGAGCCTTTTAGCTATGTTTGCATGTATAACTTTGTAGGCAAAATCTAAAGCTTTCCCATGCCTATAAACTCTATAACTACTGCATTCACAGTTGATATAATCGGTGGTATAACGTTTCAGTCATGATAACCATCGCTGGGATTAGCAGTTAGTGTTTATGCTTCATATCGTGGAGATTGCTTTATGTCGAATAAATAGATCAAAGTCTCTGAAGTCTCAAAATGATTTCGGTGATTCACTTTTGTTTCAAAATTCATTGTCATTTCTTAACGAATCGATTCTTCAAAATGTTTGATTTCCCCACAAGTATTACTATCCAAGCATTTGTCAGTAATGCATATGCTTCAGCACTTTCATGTTAGAAATGACATTCGGCTATGTGTGCAAATCATCGGAAATATTGCGTATGTCCTTTGAAAATTATGTACAGTTCCTTATGTGCATTGATCAGAATCATCTAACTTATTCTTTGTTAAGCTAGTTCTCTTTGATTCCAGTGACCTTATAAATGAAGAAAAAAACAAAATTATTTATGGCTATAATGAAAATTATAATCACGCCACATTCTTTTACATAGAAAGGAGGTGATATTTTGAGAGTATTTTTAGAAAAACGTGAAAGTGTTACACGTGGCAAGTGCCAATTACCAGAAATCCAATGAAAGAAGTACTATATAAATACAAGTTTCTCATTTTTTATGCCAATACTGTTTGGAAGATGGCAAAGAATACGTTATGTGTACTGATGTTTATTATTCAAGCGTTCACGATATTGAGCGAGCCAAGTGAAGCAGGTAAGTACAATTTGATGTGATTATAATTGTTTGAAGTAAGATTTGACATAATTTGAATCAGTTCAGTCCCATTGGCGTGCCATATTTAAATTTATTTATCACTTTCCAAGATAATAATTATGTCAAATTTAGGCTGATTTACATTAGTTATATTGAGCTGTGTAATTCGAGATTACACACAGGGGTTTCTGATTTATTCTATGAAATTGGTTGACTATGACAACAGCAGTCACTGTAGACATTAGGAACAGGTAGACGGAAACACTTGAAGACAACCTCATAGTATTCCACTGAATGATCGAAACCTCATGAATTCATGCAGTCACATACATAGACACACATGTGTATACCTTGATCGGAGACTGATTGAAAAGTTCTTCAAGTTAGCCAATTCGTTCACTAATGAATACTGTGATATTTCATAGGGATAACCTGTGAAATTGTGTAGAAGAGAGCGCAATGCAATTCAAATCGTCTAATATTATTTCCTGAACATGAAAATCTAACACTGAAAATAGGTGAAGATGATATTCTTGAGTGCACAAATAACACTGTTCATCCTAAGGGATTTCAGTCCTAATATCATCTGGTGTAATATGAAGTAAAAGAGAAAATATGAAGCCTTACTAAGCAGATTCGTAGTGACATTCATTACAACGAATGATGTGTTGCTCAACGCATGTGGCCTTAGATATATTACTGGTTTGTTAGGGAGTGTGCAGATCTTTGGTCACTGAGAATTCAAAATCCTGTTCATATTTGACAGAGTAAAATGCTTAATTACAGTAGCAATAGATAACGGTATAAATGTAAAGGACTGATGAGGACTAGAAAAGCGCAGAAAATAAATGAATAAATAAGATCAGATAAAATGAATAATTGAAAATTTGCTTAAGATTTTGCATTCGAAAAGATCACTGAACAGCAAAAATTAATATAAGCATACACAAAGCAAAGAAAGGTGAAATGAAAAAATACCCAGAGAAGAACTCAATTGTGCAGAAGTCAGCGTTGCATAGCTCAGTCCGCAGGCTGTCAGACATAGTGGCCATCAATGCCTAATTGTCGTATGCGTCTCCACTCAAAGGTCACGTCCTCCATATTTTCTAATCGATTCGAACGTATCCTACTTTTCATCCAACAGTGAACTTTGACGAGGAAGAGGAGATTTTTGGTGAGTCTGACAATCTGATATCTATCGTCATCATGAGTTTGTGTTGTGAATTCTGCATGTCAGACTTTTAAAATGAATACTGTGTACAGCGTATGTTAACAGGCGACGATCGGTTTTTCTTATTTTCAGGGGTCAAAAATATCTATCCCTTCAAGTGCTATACTCCAGGTGAGAAGGACGAAATCTTTTCCACTTTTCACTTTCACCTATATTCTGAAGACAAATGAGTGATATCAGTGAGGGGATATGCTGAATGCTTTTCGTGAAATCTGACCTGTGATAGTTAGTTAGACAATATATGTGAGGAGAAAGTGAGATGCGCGTGTGTGGAGCAGACTAGTGACGTGAGGCGGAAAATGCGAATCGAAGTGTGTGTGAGCCTGATGGATAACACATAGGTTCACATGCAATTAGGAATGTGAATATATGAGTTTTGTGAATTCAGGTGAATATGCAGGCCATGTGAAAGGAAGACAGTCCGTGTTTATCGCAGAAGCACGAGCAAGGAACATAGATGGCTTTGTGTGTTCCACATCGGTACAAGAGACTGTGACCAATCTGGCAGTCACTGTGGAAGTCATATTCCGACTCTGGTGCTATTTGTGATACTGTTTAATTTCAAACTCTTTGATTTCAGTGATGAAAAATATTACTGGAGAAGCAAAAACACAAAGTGAGTTTTGAGATTACATGAACATATATTCGACTTGACGTGAGACAACACCCTTGTCTCTCCTACTCACGTCCAGTCAGATTATCTTGATGATGTGCGAAGTGCAATTTTGAAGTTTATCACGTCAGTGGTGTGACAACTGATGAGATGTCTGTATTACTTCTCTTCTCACAGGGGCACCATATACTTTTCATATAACAAAACTTTCATATACTGATTGACACTGCTTAAATTACATTCCTACTATGTAGAACCACTTCGTGTCACATTTCATACTCCAATCGAAGTGTGTTCGGATTCGTGCAGTTAGGCTCAATTCGATGTGGTTATACGAATGGCTTGTGTAAAGGACTTTTGAGCCAGTCGGAATAGTGCACAACATGAGATGCTTGTCTCAGTTCTCTTCTTGCACAGCCGACAGTCACTATCTCCACGAAAGTGTGGACAGACACTGAGTGCCTGTCACTGATTTTCACATATTCCCGACACCAATGTCGACGCGTCTCCTTCCACGTGCTCACTTACATCGAAATACCATTGTCTCACATGTTGGATATTCACTCTTCACCATTGCACACTTGTCGATTTCGTCACCCGCTCATTGAGAAACATAGACGGTTTTGTGTCTTCCACATCGGTACAAGAGACTGTGACCAATCTGGCAGTCACTGTGGAAGTCATATTCCGACTCTGGTGCTATTTGTGATACTGTTTATTTTCAATCTCTTTCATTTCATTGATGAAAAATACTACTGGAGAAGCAAAAACACAAGGTGAGTTTTGAGATTACATGAAGATATATTCGACTTGACGTGAGACAACACCCTTGTCTCTCTTACTCACGTCCAGTCAGATTATCTTGATGATGTGCGAAGTGCAATTTTGAAGTTTATCACGTCAGTGGTGTGACAACTGATGAGATGTCTGTATTACTTCTCTTCTCACAGGGGCACCAGTCAACACACCCACAACAACCAAACACGTTGAAGAAAAAGCAACAACGAGTAAGACCTTTCAAATACTGATTGACACTGCTTAAATTACATTCCTACTATGTAGAACCACATCGTGTCACATTTCATACTCCAATCGAAGTGTGTTCGGATTCGTGCAGTTAGGCTCAATTCGATGTGGTTATACGAATGGCTTGTGTAGAGGACTTTTGAGCCAGTCGGAATAGTGCACAACATGAGATGCTTGCTTCAGTTCTCTTCTTGCACAGCCGACAGTCACTATCTCCACGAAAGTGTGGACAGACACTGAGTGCCTGTCACTGATTTTCACATATTCCCGACACCAATGTCGACGCGTCTCCTTCCACGTGCTCACTTACATCGAAATACCATTGTCTCACATGTTGGATATTCACTCTTCACCATTGCACACTTGTCGATGTTGTCACCTGCTCACAGAGTGACTGTCACGCGTAGCATCTGCATATTCCCGGCCACTTCTGATATGAACGTTACTGTGGGTCTGTGTTGTCTAGTTCTCACAAGCTTCATATCCTCGTGACTATCCCACTGTGTCAATCTCCTCATCAAGTGTGGCTACAAATTTCGTAGTGTGCATAGCGATTCCACATAGATTTCGTCAGTGTCTGAGCTGATTGAAATTGTGCTTGTCTTTGTCATTTCGTGGAATCGATACTCGCTGCTTCTTTAACAAAACACCTGAACTCTGAGTAGATTGGAATGCATGCGATATGTGGAAGTCAATACGGTGGAGACTAGAATTCAAACGCACCAACCATTTAGTGTTAGGAGAGACCAGCGTTGCCTCGCTCAGTCTGCATGCTGTCCGACATGGTTTTGATCACTGCCTAACTGTCGTGAGCATCTTCACTGAAAAGTCACGTCCTGCATATATTCTCACCTATTCGCACGTATCCTACTTTTCATCCAACAGTGAACTTCGACGAGGAAGAGGAGATTTTTGGTGAGTCTGACAATCTGATATCTATCGTCATCATGAGTTTGTGTTGTGAATTCTGCATGTCAGACTTTTAAAATGAATACTGTGTACAGCGTATGTTAACAGCCGACGATCGGTTTTTCTTATTTTCAGAGATCAAAAATATCTATCCCTTCAAGTGCTATACTCCAGGTGAGAAGGACGAAATCTTTTCCACTTTTCACTTTCACCTATAGTCTGAAGACAAATGAGTGATATCAGTGAGGGGATATGCTGAATGCTTTTCGTGAAATCTGACCTGTGATAGTTAGTTAGACAATATATGTGAGGAGAAAGTGAGATGCGCGTGTGTGGAGCAGACTAGTGACGTGAGGCGGAAAATGCGAATCGAAGTGTGTGTGAGCCTGATGGATAACACATAGGTTCACATGCAATTAGGAATGTGAATATATGAGTTTTGTGAATTCAGGTGAATATGCAGGCCATGTGAAAGGAAGACAGTCCGTGTTTATCGCAGAAGCACGAGCAAGGAACATAGATGGCTTTGTGTGTTCCACATCGGTACAAGAGACTGTGACCAATCTGGCAGTCACTGTGGAAGTCTCATTCCAACTCTGGTGCTATTTGTGATACTGTTTAATTTCAAACTCTTTGATTTCAGTGATGAAAAATATTACTGGAGAAGCAAAAACACAAGGTGAGTTTTGTGATTACATGAACATATATTCGACTTGACGTGAGACAACACCCTTGTCTCTCCTACTCACGTCCAGTCAGATTATCTTGATGATGTGCGAAGTGCAATTTTGAAGTTTATCACGTCAGTGGTGTGACAACTGATGAGATGTCTGTATTACTTCTCTTCTCACAGGGGCACCAGTCAACAAACCCACAACAACCAAACACGTTGAAGAAAAAGCAACAACGAGTAAGACCTTTCATATACTGATTGACACTGCTTAAATTACATTCCTACTATGTAGAACCACATCGTGTCACATTTCATACTCCAATCGAAGTGTGTTCGGATTCGTGCAGTTAGGCTCAATTCGATGTGGTTATACGAATGGCTTGTGTAAGGTACATTTGAGCCGTTTGGATTAGTGCACAACATGAGATGCTTGCTTCAGTTCTCTTCTTGCACAGCCGACAGTCACTATCTCCACGAAAGTGTGGACAGACACTGAGTGCCTGTCACTGATTTTCACATATTCCCGACACCAATGTCGACGCGTCTCCTTCCACGTGCTCACTTACATCGAAATACCATTGTCTCACATGTTGGATATTCACTCTTCACCATTGCACACTTGTCGATTTCGTCACCCGCTCATTGAGAAACATAGACGGCTTTGTGCCTTCCACATCGGTAAAAGAGACTGTGACCAATCTGGCAGTCACTGTGGAAGTCTCATTCCGACTCTGGTGCTATTTGTGATACTGTTTAATTTCAAACTCTTTGATTTCAGTGATGAAAAATATTACTGGAGAAGCAAAAACACAAGGTGAGTTTTGTGATTACATGAACATATATTCGACTTGACGTGAGACAACACCCTTGTCTCTGTTACTCACGTCCAGTCAGATTATCTTGATGATGTGCGAAGTGCAATTTTGAAGTTTATCACGTCAGTGGTGTGACAACTGATGAGATGTCTGTATTACTTCTCTTCTCACAGGGGCACCAGTCAACAAACCCACAACAACCAAACACGTTGAAGAAAAAGCAACAACGAGTAAGACCTTTCATATACTGATTGACACTGCTTAAATTACATTCCTACTATGTAGAACCACATCGTGTCACATTTCATACTCCAATCGAAGTGTGTTCGGATTCGTGCAGTTAGGCTCAATTCGATGTGGTTATACGAATGGCTTGTGTAAGGTACATTTGAGCCGTTTGGATTAGTGCACAACATGAGATGCTTGCTTCAGTTCTCTTCTTGCACAGCCGACAGTCACTATCTCCACGAAAGTGTGGACAGACACTGAGTGCCTGTCACTGATTTTCACATATTCCCGACACCAATGTCGACGCGTCTCCTTCCACGTGCTCACTTACATCGAAATACCATTGTCTCACATGTTGGATATTCACTCTTCACCATTGCACACTTGTCGATTTCGTCACCCGCTCATTGAGAAACATAGACGGATTTGTGCCTTCCACATCGGTAAAAGAGACTGTGACCAATCTGGCAGTCACTGTGGAAGTCATATTCCGACTCTGGTGCTATTTGTGATACTGTTTATTTTCAATCTCCTTCATTTCATTGATGAAAAATATTACTGAAGAAGCAGCAGAACACGGTGATTTTTGTGATTACATGAACATATATTCGACTTGACGTGAGACAACACCCTTGTCTCTGTTACTCACGTCCAGTCAGATTATCTTGATGATGTGCGAAGTGCAATTTTGAAGTTTATCACGTCAGTGGTGTGACAACTGATGAGATGTCTGTATTACTTCTCTTCTCACAGGGGCACCAGTCAACAAACACACAACAACCAAACACGTTGAAGAAAAAGCAACAACGAGTAAGACCTTTCATATACTGATTGACACTGCTTAAAT